ATATAGACAGGTAGATTGATGGGAAAAAAAAGTACAAAACACAAATGTATTGTTCCTACCTTTAGAAAAGGCACAAGGTAAGGTTGGGGTGAAGAGCTGAGCTCTTTGTACAATCTGCTGGTGAATTCTTCAGCTTCCAGCTTGGACTCCTTTTAAAACACAAGCAGCTGAGAATCAGAATTTCATGTTTACACACGCATCAGTCAAACAGTTTTCAGTGTTTCAGCGACACTTTTAAAGCTCCACACATTAATACTGGACATTAGCAGATTCAGACACTCACCAGCAGGTCTTTGACCAGCTCTCTAACAGTGGCTGCAGTCTCTGTGGACTGCTTCCCACTGGATGCCAGCTTGATCAGTGTAGACAAGAAGTTTTTACATTTCTTCACATTCTCTATCGTCTCCTATCAGAAACACACAAAAACACAAMCCTTGGTTTATTTGTGACCTTTATATATCACATCTATAATTGTATTTGTTATAACAAACACAATACTCTGAGCAGCATAAACACACACACACATACACACACATTTCTTATTCTAYCTTCATGGGGACTTTTCATTGACTTSTATTAATCGACTGGCCATTTCTATAGCCTAATCCTGACCCCTTACTCTAAACATAACCTAAAAGCAATTCACACCTTAGGCCTAAAGCGAACCCCCTACCCACCGACAGCATTTCCTTCAATGGGGACCTGGCTTTTGTCCCCATTAAGGTTGGGTTATTGTCRCGCTTTGGGTTGTTGCGCAAGCTCCGCAGAGTGCACGCGCTCCTGAGCCGCTCGCTGTGTTAAAACATAGTTGACRTTCATGTTATCGCTGTTCTTCCGTCACCGACAGATGGCAGTATGGTGCCAAAGCAGCGGAAAAGTAGTCGGGAAGAGTTTAGAAGAAGAAACGCTTGACATTTCACATAACAAAGTAACATAATTTACCTCTTTTTCCATATTATCTGTTTCTCTGTGCTTCACGAACTGAGAGAGCCACACTGGTTTGTTTCMTCCAGGATCACAAACAGGTCACAAATATTTTTCCATGTCGTCCGGCATGTTAAGTCATTTTTCTTTAAAACCGTTGCTATTTCCTTCCATATGTTTTATGCCATCTAGTTGTCTTTATGATCTCTCATGGAGGGATCATGCAGATGCCGGTACATTTGGACCTGTTCAGCGAGAGCACCTTCGCGACGAGTGGCCCGCAGCCTTTGCGGAGCTTCAAAATTTCTGAGGTGCACGACCACGCGTCAGGACACAATGCGTGGGGGTGGGGATGCCGCGATTGCGTAACTTTTGACGCAAACCCCCTTGCGCCCTGTGCGTCGCGTCAACTATAACCTAAGCTTTAGGAACAGTGAGTCCTCAGCAGGCTGTGTGTACCAGAAAAATGGTCAAAAATCATCCCCACCAGGTAGAAAAAACATGCGCGCGCGCGCACACACACACACACACACACACACACACACACACACACACACCAGAGGACAGGAATCCATCTTACTTTGCTCACTGCTACTGAAGTAACCGTGGTCCCAGCTGTCTGGGTGGGTGTCCGAGGGGTCATTCCTTGTACTGTGGACCCAACTGAGCCCTGGACAACAACAAATAAAAAATGCAAACATTACCACACATTTAAATTAAAATAATAATAATAAAGGCCTAGCATTCCTTTCCTTCTGTCTAAAATGCCAGCGTTTCAGACTCAAGCATCCTGTAGGCATCCAAAGAACTGCCGAAACTGGATCTCTATCTCGCAATTGCTTGATGACAGTTGCATCATTTTTGTTCACTGCTTTCAGAATGTGACTGTCGTACCCGGAAGCAGACTATGACAAATAGCCAAAAATGTATGGATGGAAATGAAACAGACGTTGTACACGGAGAAATCTGTTTGCGAAAAACCGTGGAGCTTTAACCAAGACAGATTTGTGGACATATATATTTTCCCCACAAAGTGTCGATTCCAGTGGGGAGAAACCCGTGCAGTGACGTATGCTGCAGYGGGAGGGGTTTCCCAGGAGCTCAGCGTGGTGTGTCTCARGAGCTATGAAAGGTGTGTGCGTCGTCCGGTCGGCTGCTGATCGACCACACCGGGTACTTAACATCTTAATTTGATAAATAGAGTTGTAGCCATTTTGGTTGAAACCTTGAGAATAGCAGCATTCACAATCTTATGCAACATCCTACAATGTCACACTCTAAGTATGTGTTATGAATGTCTCTCAATAACTACTACTACATCAATCTTTAGCTCAAGATCTGTAAAACTGACTGAGTTACATCCATTTTTGTGTTGGCTGATGATGATTAGCTGTGGTGGCTAATCAACATCAAACTGGGTTGACTCCAAACATTTAGCACTTTAGCAGACCTTTAAAGCATTGGATGTAAGAAGGCTGATGTTTCGTTTTATTAAAC